ATCTATGCGCCACACAATGGGTATATACAATGCTGGGGTTTTAGTTTGAACACCAGTTTTATTGCCAGACATTACAAATGCACCATCAAAGTTAACATTTACAGTTTTTGCATAGATATTGTTTAAATATAAATCTTGATTCATTTTGTCTGTTGTTAAACTTTTTAAAACAAATTCTATTGCATTTAATATACCATCAGCATCAACTGTCAGTGGTGAGTTAATACCAGCAAATATAGTTATTGGATTACCATTTTTAACAAACCTTAAAAAAACTGTTTCTTGTTCACTAATACTCTTAATAGTGGAACCATCAGATAAAATTGCAATAAAACAAGCATTTGAAACGTATAAACTTAATTTGCGTTTTAAGTCAGAAGAAATTGACGATAAAAAGCTTTTGCAAGGTTTGTCACTTAAGTAGTTCTTGCCCAACTTAATACCATTTAGCTTTTGTAGCTTGCACAGTTGAGAAAATTTTTTAAATGCAAGATCCTCTTTAACAACAAAATACGATATCCGAAAAAGTCTGTTCAATTCTTCTTGGTTATTTTCAGTAGTTCTTAAAATTGATGTCGAGACAGTTTTCTCAAGACTTGGAGCTATGTTGTGAAGGTTCTCTTGATATTTAGAAATACAGGCTTTATGCCTATCATCTTTATTGTGGCGTAACAAATATGTTCTTTTCCAAAATTTACATCCCATTGTTACTGAATTGGTTGTATTGCTAATATTTGGATACTTTTGGCAAACCCAGCAAGAAAAGCACTCATTTGATTTGTCAATATGAATCCAGCTTAGTTGTTGCCCGTGTTTTTTATTGCTTTGCGGCAATCCGTTTACGGTGTTCCAAAACATAAATTCAATATCTTTTGGCCATATATCCAATTTTCCCAAAGTCATAGCACAATCCAAGTCATTGCACTTTTTTTTCGCATGTTTAGTTTCTCTCTCTTCTTCTCCTTTACGTTTAATGCTACGTTCCTCTGTACCATCTTTCTTTAACATCGAAAAGATGCTTAGTGCTTAATGCTTATGACATTTTTTTAAAAACTTTAAAAATAATAGTATATTAAGTATTTAATAATAAGTTAATAAAAATATCATATTATTGGTGTTGTTAAACGCACAATAAAAAAATTAAAATTTTAACAAACATAATAACTTTATATATTCTATTATGTATTTTTTAGCAAAACTTGAACATTATTTTAAACTTTTATAAGTTTTAAAATGCAAACTAACATTACTTCACCTTAAAGAAAATAAGAAGGAAAAAAAAAAGCACGCTATTAAAAAAAGCAATCGTTATTTAAGCATGGTTTTTTTAAAAGTAATTGCAAATGGACTCGTTTTAAATAAAAATTTAAATGCTTTTTTAAACACATGCAAAAACCATGCTCAAACTAATTACTTTTTTCTTTCCATTGAAGAAAATAGCTTCAGCGTGGTTTCATTTAAAGTCTTTGAAAATGCGTTTGAAATTTTTGTAATGAGTTGTTTTTTTGTGTTTTTTATAATAAATAAAAAACGATCGATAGTTAATTGTTTGGAAAGAAAAATTGCTATAGTAACGCGTTCATTTTTAAAAATTTTAGGCGAACGCCAACGTTTGCGTTAGGAAAAGTAAAGGAACGTGACGTTCGTTTTTTTGTCTTTTTTTGTGCAGACCTTCGCACGTTCGTCGATTTTTCGCGCCCTGTATATATATATATATATATATATATATATATATATATATATATATATATATATATATATATATATATATATATATATATATATATATGAAAAACTTGAAAATGTTTTGTGTTTAGGGGTGAATTTGACATATCTAGCTCCTTGTGACCCGTTTACCTGGTCCTCTTTTGCTTTGTGAATGTGATATAGTCTTAATGAATGGTTAAAATTTTATTTTCTAAGCCTTGAATTTTGAAAAAAGCCACAAGAAATGTCACCTAATTGCTATCTATGTTAGAAATACTTATGTTAAGTGTTTATCCAATCAATAAGATTAATCTGCGCATCTAATACATTAAAGACGATTTTCTTTTTTAAAGTAGGAAGATGTTTTCAGGCCTTGCGATGAATAAGAACTGCGCGATGCATAAGCACGACGTGATTTTTGACGTCGTTAAATTCTTTTTATTTGCTTTTCATATTTATCGACATTAACTGCACCAATTTACTTAATTACCGCAAAACTACTTTAAATCGTTTATGTAGAAATGTTATTATTTAAAAATGTTTTGGAATGTTTCGTTTTTTAAAATGTAAAAACATTTGTTTATTTTCTCAATGTTTGTCACGTTTTGTCTATACTTAAACGAATAAAAAACATTATAACTTAAATTTAAAAAAGATTATAAAATATGCTAATATTTGATTTTTTTTTTCTTAAATATGTAATTTAAAGTTTTTCAAATAATTATTTTTTCTTTTTAAAAAGTCAGCGAGTAATAAACTGGAAATTTTAATATTGTACGATTAAAAACTGTGCAATAGCTAATATTTTTACAAGCGATTTTATATAATATTTATTTATTTTTATTTATTTTCATAAAGCGGTTGATAAGCACTATCACTCGTATTAATAAAAAACTTAAACGAACGTTTTGAATAGATTTTTAATGTTAACAAGGAATTTTATTTCAAGTAATATAAAATAAAATGTTAGAATAAAAATCTTATAGGTATAAAAGAAATATTTCAGCGAAAAAATTATTCTTAAAAATTATTCGAAAAACTATTGACGTTTTATTTTTCAGCAGCTGTTCTTGAGCACGCTTCGTTGAGTTTCGGTAACTTTTAACATAAAAGCGATCGTTATTATTTAAGTAATTTTTTTGAGTTACTTTTTACAAAAATTTTTAAAAGCTGTACTTTTTTATTGAATCAAGTAGAATACGTTTTAATATTAATCCTTTTTTTTTTTTTATTTGCGCTCACCAATTTTTAAAATGTTTCCTTGAAATTACTGTTAAATACTTTAAATATATCTAACAGTTAATAAATATTTTTAAATCTTTTTTTTTAAAACCTAACAAACCCCCGTAAAATAATTATTTAAGTTTAAAATCTAAAACTAAAAGAAAGTATTTTTGTTCAATTTTATCGACAACTTTGCTATTGCTGAATAATTTTATTAAAATGTTAGCTTAAAAGATTTAAACTTTTTTTTTAATCTGAATTTTTTCTACTTGTAAATAATGAGCATATTTAATTTTTTTTTAATTCAAACTTTTATTTCAACTGCGTGCGGTTTTTAAAATACTTTATTAAATGTTAAAATAATCATAAATTACTTCATTAAAATTCCGCTCAAAAATATCTTTAAATATACTCAAACAAAAAATTTTTTGTTCGACTCAAATAGCCCTAGCTACACGCAAAATCGCTCTTGGACGACGTAAAATTCACATCGCCCGACGCTTTATCGCAAGGCCTGTGTTTTCATTCATCTGAGACTTTTTCTTTAGAAATAAATAAATGGGTTAGAAGATATAATGAGCTCTAAGCATTGCGCATATTTATTTTTTTGCTCTAAGAACAATTTTAAAATGAATTATTTTTTTACCATTTATTCAAAAAACATAAAAGTAAAAAAATAGAGGATAGATAAATAGCTGAATAAGTATAAAAATAGAGGTAATTGTGAAATAAACTCACCCCAGGCAAGTTCAATTACAAAAATGCCAATGTAGCTGGATTTTTTTAAAGGTGTTTTATTAGATGCTTTTATATGTTATCCTGAATAGAGTAGCTAGAGTTGTTACAAAGGATTGGATAGTGGTTAGGTAATAGTTATACAACACACCTTTACATCATATGAAAAAAGGGTGCTTAACTAGTCAACAGAAATCTTCTGTACTTCTAAGGAGATCGTATACTTGTTCTTAAGAAAATTTTACACTTTTTGTTTTTAATGTCATGGGTTTGTCCCTCGCAGGGACAAATCCAGACCTTTTTTGGTACTGCTTAATCAGTATCCAAATAAAGTCCTTAATAAATATTTATTATTTGTTATTTTTGTTTTGCTTGTTTTATAAAAAATAGGAAAAAAAGTTTTGGTTTCAAATGCAGTAGTAAATAACTAATTTTCTTTTTATTTTACTGAGTTAATTTTTTCTTCAGGACAATAAAATGGATTTAAAAGTATTTATGTGCTGTAATTTGTTTAACGTTTAAAACTGTCATTTGGTTACTAACCCAACATTAGATTTAAAAAAAAAATTTACTACATAACTTAATTTAAATACAATGGAATGTATGAAAAATTTGTTTTATCAGAAGATAATATTGTTTTAAAATTTTTTATTAAGAGTAATGTAAGAGTATCTTGTCAATTATAAGTTAACTGTTGTTAGAATGAGATTTAATCCTTTTTTGCAAAACTTATTTATCTAAATAGTTTTTGTATTCACATTAACTATAATGCCCTTAACAGCTGATTTTTGTTACTTGTGATAAATTGCAAATCAAAGTTTGTGAATGCTAAAATAAGTCAAAAATATTTTATTTATATTTAGAAAAAATTATTTCTTTTTTAAACAGTTATAATACTTAAGTAAAGTTATACTTTATTTATAGAAATTATATTTTTTAGTGATTTTTTCTTTTTTGGAAAATTGTTTTGAAAATAGAATACAAGTATTGTTTTTCAAAATATCAAAGTATTCTTTTGAAATCTTTGAAAAAAGATAAAAGATTAACATTAAAAATATATTTATATATATACTTAACTCAAAAAAATAAATTCAACATAACACGTAAAATAAAAAAGTTTGTAATTTTATTAAAACAAACTAGATTTAACATTAGTTTATCTTGATACAATAATTGAATAATTAAAGATTGTCAGACTTGTGATTTAGATCTATTTATAAACAAAGCATTAAGGAATCAGAATTGCCTTTATAAAATTAATAAATATTCTCTTTTTAGTTTTTCATCTATAAAATATCTATATCTGTTAAATAAATCAAATATTTTTTATTTAGAGGAACTGTATCAGAAGCTTCAAAATCAAATGAATCAAATGATCTCAACGATCAAGAAGAAGGAGTTGAAAAGGAAGAATCAGAGCAGGTACTTGGTTTTTTATTTTAAGATAATTTTTATAAAACTTTTTTATAAAAAGCAAAAATAAATGGATTGAAACAAAAAAAAAAAACAATTTTGTTTTTAAACTATGCTAAATGATGAGAGGTTGAGTTATTTGAAATGATGAGAGGTTGAGTTATTTGAAATGATGAGAGGTTGAGTTTTTTGAAATGATGAGAGGTTGAGTTATTTGAAATGATGAGAGGTTGAGTTATTTGAAATGATGAGAGGTTGAGTTATTTGAAATGATGAGAGGTTGAGTTATTTGAAATGATGAGAGGTTGAGTTTTTTGAAATGATGAGAGGTTGAGTTATTTGAAATGATGAGAGGTTGAGTTATTTGAAATGATGAGAGGTTGAGTTATTTGAAATGATGAGAGGTTGAGTTATTTGAAATGATGAGAGGTTGAGTTATTTGAAATAGTAGTAAAATAAAAATGTTAAAAACTTTTTTTTGTCAAATATCAAGTCAAATTTTTAATTATTTAAAGGGATCCCCAAGTGCCTAGACAAATTGTATTCATATTTTTAAAATTGTTAAAAAAAGCCTTTGGGCTAAACTTTTTGGATTATAACTAAATAATAAAAGTATATCAATAAAACCTAAAATTGTCATTAAAATTTGCCTTAATTTTTCTTTTGGTTATCTGAGTCTTTATGATAAACACTGCAATCTACAGAGTTGATAATTTATTTCATTCTTATTTAGTTTGTAAGAGTTTTAGTATATTGTAGAAGTCATTGTAGAATTTTTCTTTTTAATGTATAAAAGATACATTTATTTAAAAAATATCCTGACAATTGTTAAAAATAAATTATGCTATTAAAATCGAAATACCATTTTTTTAATTTGTATTACAAATATATTTAGGGATTTAGTGAAAAATTAGACAAATAAGTACGATTTACAGATTGCAGGATGAAAAAATACTTCGATATCTTAAAAAAAAATCTACAATGGCGTCATATAGTGAAACTCTTATGACTCTAAATAAACATAAAATAAATGATCAAGTCTGGAGATCACGGCATATATTATTAAGTTTCCAAGAACCAGAAAAAACTGTTGATTTATTCAAAAGTTTTGAATAAATCAACAGTTTTATTTTTTATTGATATACATTTATTTAGTTTTTTATTGATATGCTTTTATTTATTTAGTTAAAAAAAAATTAACCCAAATGATTTTTTTTATATTTTCTTTAATATGACCACATTTTGTCATAACACCTGTAGATATGACCACAACTTGTCACAACACCTGAGGATCTCTTAAAGAAACTAAAAGTGAAGTAAAATACAATGTTAAAATGTAACTAATATGCCATTAATTGATGTGTTTATTTTTTTTTTGTTGGCATTTTCCATTGAAAAACAGATAAGCGCCTAAAATTGGAGTGTTTTAATTTTTGTCTTTTGTCAAGTGACAATTGATAAGCTGGTATGATTATACAGTAGATTTTTACGAACTTGTACTTTAGATAAGTTGGACTTTTGTTAAGTTGGACTTAAAAAAATTAGTAAAAATCCATAATAAAATTTTCAATTTAATTATATAATTCTGAAAATAATAATTATTTTTAATGTTATTTTATATTATATAATTATATATGATGCTATATTTATATATATTTTAAATAATTATTATTATAACAATAAGTTAATGTTTTAATGTTCAATAATTTACAAATATAATAATGTGGTAGTGGTTGAGCACTTGCCTCATGAGCAAGAAGTTCTGATTTTAATCCCCACCACATCCCTGATAGTACCGCGCTGGACTTGTTTCTCCATGTAGTAGCCTTGATCGTCACGATTTGTGTTTCGGAGTTATCGAGTTGGCAATGTTTGTAGCGACAATTAAAGTAGCCTCTTTATTTATTTGTAGTTGCCTTCAAAGCCTTGGGGAGGTAAATTAACCTTAAAAAAAAAATTACATTTGCTGAATAAAACATTTGACAACCATTTCATAAAAAGTATCGATTACAAATAAAGTTTGTTGAAATTAAAAATAAAATGTTAAAAAAATGTAAGTTCCAAGTTCTTGAAGATTAATTCAATTATTTGCTTTTCTATTTGTGATAAAAATTTTTTTGGAGTATTGCCATAATTCTATTAAATATTTTATACTATTTACATACCTCTAGTTGAATTGTTTTCATACTTCTTGAATTATTTTGTTAGATTATTTTTCTGTTAGATTTTACTGTACTATGGGCCAAAGAGACTGCCAAGTTTTATATTGTACCAATCAAATAAAACTTTTTTTATTTATAAAATACTTTTTTATTCAGAAGCATTTTATAAATAAAACCTTTTTTTATTCAAAAGTATTTTATAAATAAAATTCTTTTTATTCAAGAGTTTAATTTTACATTTTTATAATTTACTCACTTTGTTTAGATTTTAAAAAGCTCTTTTGTTATAAGACAAATACTCTTGATTAAAAAAGGCTTTATTTAATTGACTCAACATTAAAACCTGGCAGTCTCTTTGGCTCACAGTGGCTTGTTAATTAAAATTTTTCAAAGATATTAACACATCTTTGAAAATTTTGTTAATTTAAATCAAAATTGTTTTTTTCTGTTATTAATCCAAATATTTTCTTTATATGTATTATTTTTTAGAATATAGATTATCCCTGTTACTTTGTGCTAGTGATGGGAAAAAATATGTTTTTTAATTTGATGTTTCATTTCTTTCAATTTGCACTTTTTTTTCATGTGTTTTGTCACAATGTTTTGCTAGCTGAACTAAACTATAGAGCAGCAGCTTTTAGCTCAAGTGCAATGACAAATCATTTATGTGGCTTGCAATAGCTTTATATTTTTAAAACATTGTGTTTAAAAATTTGGTAATCAAAGCGGACTATTCTGCAGCTCTGCAGCACAGAAAGTTTTACTACAAAAATTATATTCCATATAAAATTTTAATAGTATAACTTTTAAAACTTTTAGTACTCAATATAAAATTTTTAAAAGTTATAATACGTATAAAATTAAAAAAGTTGGTTTAAAGATATTATTATAACTTGCTGCAATAAATCTTTTGCAAGAAATATTCTTTTTGGTCAATATTAAATGTCGTAGTGGTGTAGTGGTAGAGCGCTTGCATCATAAGGGAGAAGTTCCAAGTTCGATCCCCACCATGTCCCTGGTAGTACTGCGCTCAACCTGTTTCTCTGAATAATGACCTTGTTTGTCAAGGTTTGTGTTTTGGAGTTATAAAGTTGAGAGAAGGTTGTAACCAGAATTAAGTACCCTCTTTGTCTGTAATGGCCTTTTTGGCCTTGGGGAGGTGAATTAACATGAAAAAAATATTAAAAATACCCACAATTAAGTGTTTAATCAAGCTATAAAGTTTGCTTCAGAGGCCCTTCCAATTACATATTGATTCTATTTTAGGTCATTTGTATCTTCTCTATTTGTATTTAAATCTTCATCCAAATCGTTTCCTTACTTTTACATATTTTTGAATTTTATTTTTAGTTGCCCCAAGAAGGGCTACTAAAAATAAACTGCAGTGCTCTTTGACAAAACCTAACGGTCTTGTCACAGAGCACTACAGAAGTGCATTAACCAAGAAGTTCACGCCTCCTTACTGTGACGCGAAAATATGTCCAGAGCTTGTTTTAAACCTGGATCTCCTGCTTATAAAGCAAGGGCTCTAACCATTGGGCCACGGCAGCACAATACATATAATTAAATATAAACTGAAACAAAATTCTAAGAACTGAAAACTGAAAATAATAACTGAAAACTTATAAACTGTTTTAATAACTAAAATTAAATTTAATTAAACTTTATCTTAATAAAATGATTCTTAATAAAGTTAAGCTAATGTTTATAAAAAGTACTTATAAATATTGTTTATTATGAGTATTTATAATATTAATCTAATTTTTTATAAATGCCACTTCAATGCTAAAGTCTATTTGAGTGATTACTACTTCTTAAGGGTTTTTAGTTATACATTGCTTCATAATTTAATTAGGGACACAAATTCCAAAATAAAGCTAATAGATTATAATTTTTCTTTCCATAATGTTAAAGGCATTACTAGTTCTGAAACACAGTCATTATTAGTTCTGAGGCAAATGGTGTTTGCTACAAAAGTTTAATGTGTCTTTTAATAGTTGTACTTTGTTCTTTACATTAAAATTTTTATTTTTAAACTAGGAGCATGTTAAAGATGTGAAGATTGAAGATGGTGAATGGGAAGAGTCATTTAAAGAGCACCGCGATTCAAAGCCATATGGTAAAATCATTTATATCATTTTGATGTTTTTATTTGTTAAGTAATTTAAATATTTTGAACAAAATACTTTAACCAAAAAAAAATTTTATTTAAAAGATTTGTGAATGATATCAACATCCTTGTACAGTATCAAAATATTGTTCACATGCACAGTGCATTAATATAAACAAAATATTATTTCTTCAGAGAAAAAAAAAAATGAGATTGCCAAAAAAAAGATAAACAAAGCTACAAAATGAAAATATAATATTTTTGCTGTCAAATTTAAAATGATAAAAGTTTAGGCTGTGGTATTTCTCTTTGTAATAACATATTGGTCATATTGAGCTAATTCCAGACCATGAATAACTTGCTTGACAAGAAGTTTCAGTTCTTGACTAATTGATTAGAGAAAAATCATGCTTCTGTTCACAATGATTAGTTGAGATTTTATTTATGAATACCACCAACTGGTCCATCACATAAGGAGGGAAATAATTTTGAAAGGTGATTGTATTTAATGGTATCAATTTTATGTACTACTTAAAACTATTTTATCATATCACTTCTGATCACTTTTTGTATATTTTTCCTCATACCAATTTTTTTCTGTATGAGTGGGAAGTCCTTATGCTTTAGTTCTATCTTTGTATCAAATTTTCAATATTTAAAAAATAATCTTTGAAATTCTTTTTTAAATACGTTGTAAACTTAAGATGCGTTTGATTTGATATGGTCTATTTGCACTTTAACTTTAAGGTCATTTGAGATAAGTGTCTAAATCTTGTTCAATATGAATCATGTCTAATGTTACTATTGTGCAATTGCAATCAAATAGTTTTTGTGTTTTGATTTAGGTGATCCTTGACCGATATGCATAACCTTACAATTTGTTATATTAAGCTTATTCAGCCAAATTTTAAATATTCAAAATATTCTACTGCGTACTCCATTGAGGTTTTCCTATTCTGATTCTTTGCAATCATTTCTTATAAATTCTTATGGTATCTTTATTAATAGTAGGTTTACTTGATTGTTTGAATTTTTTAAAGATTTTTGAGTTATGCTGGATTCACGGATATCAAGATTAAACAAGATAATCAGTAAACACTATATAACTTTTTTGCATGTTTATTTACATACTAGTAGTGCCATGTTGTGTTCATTATTTTTACTAAATTCTTTGCATGTCAAATTCCTTTATACTCATCATTTTTTAGCAATAAAATCTTTTTATTTTCTCGCTTTTTTTATGAATAGTTGGAATTTTTTCCTAGTATATTGAGAATTGACTTGATAATTCAAGATTTTTGAAATTAACTTTGACTAACATTTTTAATACAAAAACAATTTCTTCATTGATACCAACTGCATTAAAAATGTGACTGTATTTTTTATTAGCAACATTAATCTGTCCTTTCGAATATCAATGTTAGATACTATTCACTTGCTTCACAAAACCCACTTTTGCCTAGTGACACACTTTATGTTCAACAGCCATTTTACTTTTTATTTTATTATTTTATCTTATTATTTGAAAAACCTCCTAAAAAGACCTAAACTTTCGTAAAAAATACTTGAATTTCAAAAATACTCCTAAAATCTCCTAATTTAAACATTGTTTTTTAAACTTTAAGATTTCCTTTAAACATTCAACTAAACTTTCAAATTTTGTATTAAAATTTTTGAATAATATTTAAACTTCATTAAAAAAATTTGAAAATCCTCTTAAATAATCCTATTTTTTTATCTGTTTTTTCAAGTTTCACGGTAAAATCTCCTAAAAATTCCTTAAAAATCTCAGAAATTTTACTAATTTTTTAACTCAAGAAAAGTGTGGCCACCCTGTCAAAATATTTATTATTTTAACATTTCTTTCCAGTTTATTGCTCAATTTATTGTTATATCAAGACTTAAAACAAACTTTCCTGATAACAATAATGTTAATGATTTTGATACTGATGCTGTTTTAACACATTTAGATTGTAAGATGGTAATCAATTTTTTTTGCAAGTAGACTTTCAAATATAAAATTTTCTCATTAAATACTTTTAATTCTGCCTCTAAATATAGGTTTTCTAATTTTGTATTCTGAGGATTAAAACCTAGAAACTCTAATTTAATAATGCTGAGTGCTTATTTATTTTTTGATATCCAAATGTTAAATATAATTTTTACCAAACTTTAATGAAATTCGTGAAACCAAAAAAAAAGTATTCAAAGAAAAAATGCTTAAACAGTTCCCATTATGATCATAGTTTCTTGTCAAAACTTTATTAAAGTACAATTTTGTTTTTATTTTGCTTAAGTGATTTTTTTATTTATTTAATTTTAACTTATTAAAATACTTTTTAAAAAGTTCTATTTAATTTTAATAGGACCAAGCTCTGTTGGGATGGATGTTTCATTTGTTGGCTTTGAACATGTCTATGGCATACCAGAACATGCTGATTCGTTGGCTTTAAAAAACACATCGTGAGTTTTTTACAATTTACAATTTTTTTGTTGTTGTTGTTGTTGAGTTTGAATAAACAATACTACTAAAAATAAAAATGAGGAGATCAATTCAAATTATTTATTCATTAGATTTGATCATTAGAATTATATGTTTTTAAATGCCTTATCTAAATATTTTTAAATAGTCCTGGAGATCCATATCGGTTATACAATTTGGATGTATTTGAATATGATCTATACAATCCTATGGCTTTATATGGGTCAATTCCTTACATGGTTGCTCATAGCACACATCGTACTGTCGGATTATTTTTTAACAATGCAGCAGAAATGTGGATTGATATCAAATCTTCAAAGTCTATGTTAGGATCTATTATATCACTTTTTAATTCTGGAGATATTCCTACAACAGAAACTCATTGGTTTGCTGAGAGTGGAATTATTGATATGTTTGTAATGTTGGGTCCAAATCCACATGATGTTTCCATGCAGTATTCAACTCTAACTGGAACTCCAACACTACCACCTGTAAGTTTTTAGATTCATTGTATAATAATAATGGTATAAACATAATCAAATATAAATATATTAAATAAAAAATGTTAATAAAATATATAAAAAGCATTTTATATAGATTTTTTTATCAAACAACATTTAAGCTTTCTTTAAACTCTGTACCTCTAATTGTAAGCAATAGATACAGAGTTTAACCCCCCCCCCCTCCAAACACATATTCCTGAAGTATATGCACTCACCTTTTTTCTCTGTGCAGTAGGTTTGTTTATCAAGATTTGGATTTGTCATTTTAGGGTTGAAAAGGGGGAGGGGTATAACAATAAAGGAAAAAAAAAAATTTGCCTCCTTTATTTTAGTAGCCGCTCAGGTCTTATTGAGGAAAGGTTATTTAAAAAAAAAACTGTAAAATAAAACGGTTGCAAAAACAAGTTATTAAAAATAAGTTATTTGTTCTAAATTTTCTTGAAAATCTTAATTCACTTTATAGCAATCTGTTAAAACATTTTTTGTAATTGTTGTTAAAACCCTCTTTCAACCCTTTAAACACGAACCTCAATGAATCAGGCAACCTCAATAACCCAGGCTGCTATGTGGAGAAACATCTTGAGTGCCTGGTATGGTGGAAATCAAAGCAAGAATATTTTACAGTTTTTAATATATTGAACAATTGGAACAAGACAAAGAAACTAAACTGGTCTTTTTTATATACCATTAAAATGTTATAAAAATGTTAAAAATGTTGTGCATTTTTAACATTCTTGTATATTATGTACACTATACACATTTCCATTCATTGCATTGAAGGGGTTCTAGTTTGTTAAAACAGTTTAGACCAAATTTTTTTTCTTTTTTTTTTTTCTTATAAATAAAAGGGTAATTAAAGATAAAAATATGTCATCACCTGTAGTGCTCCTTGGCTATTGGGAGATATATTTGTTTTAATAAGTAAAAGTATAATATTTAGAATTTTTTATAGATGTTTGCACTTGGTTACCATCAATGTCGTTGGAATTATAATGATGAAGAAGATGTGAAGAATGTTGATGCAAAATTTGATGAGCATGATATTCCATATGATGTTATTTGGCTTGATATAGAGCATACAGATAATAAAAAGTACATGACTTGGGATGCTTCAAAGTTTCCTGACTCTAAAGCTATGATTAATAATATTGCATCAAAAGGTCGCAAAATGGTCACCATAATTGATCCACATATGAAGCGGGACTCAAGTTATCATGTGCATAATGAAGCAACTGTTAAACAGTTTTATGTTAAAAAAAATGATGGAAGTGATTATGATGGTTGGTGTTGGTCTGGATCATCATCTTGGATTGATTACTTAAATCCAGAAGCTCGCAGATGGTGGGCTAGCCTTTTTCAATTAGATGTTTATCAGGTTTGTAATGTGATTTTTTAAAAAACTTTTTAAATTTTGAATTTGATTTGTAATTTATTTTCCTATTTGAGATATTAAACCTGTTGGTTTAGGGCTCCACACTCAATTTGTTTACCTGGAATGATATGAATGAGCCCTCAGTTTTTAATGGTCCAGAAATTACTATGCACAAAGATTTAGTACATTATGGAAATTGGGAACATCGTGATGTTCACAATTTGTATGGAATGTTGTTTCACATGTCATCATTTGAAGGACATTTAGTTCGCTCTAGTGGCAAAGAAAGACCATTTATCCTTTCTCGAGCATTCTTTGCTGGCTCTCAAAGATATGGTAAACAATATTTGTTTTTGCATTCATGTATACACATACATATATACATACATTTTATTTTCAGGTTTTTTATTAGGGTTGTTAACTTTTGCAAAAGTTTTTGATAAAAAAAAAACTTTTCGAAACTCTATTTTTGTTTCGGTAAGTTTGAAACAATTTCTGATTACTTAATTTTAAACCCAAATGAATTTCGCTTTATGAAATTCAAGATATTCTATCGATATATTTTTTAAGTTTCGAAATCCCAAATATAGCTCCAAAATTATTTTTTGCTTTCAAATCTTTGAAAATTGTATCGTTATATATTTACAATATTGAAAATTTACAGAAACAATTTTTCACTTTCGAAACTCTATAAATTGTATCGAAATATTTTTATATTATCGAAATTTTAAAAATGGCATCGAAACATTTTATCGCCTATATTTTGTATCGAAAAATTTTTATGCTATCGAAAATTTTATAATGGCACAGAAGCAATATTTCACTTTCAAATCTCTATACTTGCACTGGAATATTTTGATATTATCAAAATCATAAAAATGGTATCAAAATAATTTTTTACTTTCAAAATTCTTAAAATTGCTTTAAAATATTTATTTTATTACATTAATTCTAAAAACTGCATCTAAATGAATATTTATAATAACAAAAAATTAAAACTCGGATAAATTTGCAAAACGAAATGATAACGTTGTTCTAAGTGCCTGTTCATATGTATGAAAAACATGCCTGTGAGAGAAAAACCACAATAATTTTGTGTAATGTTATTTTTTGCCAGATGTGTTCAACTTAGATACGATAAACTTAGAAGCGATTTTTATATCTAGAAAAGTTGAAAGAACACAAACAAGGTAAAAAGATTTCTCACTTTGCATGTGCCAGATGCATGTTAATAGTTAATGAATATGTAAAATTCAAAAATCAAACGTGTTTTATCTTTTTTTTTTTTAGTTTTAAGTAATGCTTTAGTTTTGATACTTCCTACTAGATGGCAACATGCGCAATTTAAAAATGAACGCTCCGATTTGGAATTTGGTTTTTTGAAAATATTGAATTTCATTATAATTTTTTTTTTTAGTTTCATATATCGGGAAAGAAAGGGTTAACTTTTTTCTTTGTTTATACATTTTTATTGAACTTTTTTTGAAACTATTATAGTATCCCTTTTATTGAAAATGTTTAAAAAAATTTTTCTGCTAAAGTTTTTAAACTAACTTTTTTTGGGCTAGCCTTTTGGCATAGTGATACAACTACAGCATGAAAGTTAGCATAAACTCTGGAGAGTTTAGCATAAGAGTTTATGCTAACTTTAACATAACTTAATGCTAAAGTTAGCATAAAAGAAAAGTGAGAAATTAAAATGAACTAACAAGTTTTCAACAAAACTGCTCATGTAAATGTACAGCTAATGTTTGTAAAAATCAAGAAAGCTGGAAACAAGTTAAATATATATGGAAAGTTAAATATTTATGTTAAATAATGTAGGGAGTTTTTGGCAATAAAAAACTTATTTTTACTACGGGGACAGTAAAAATAAACTTTTGAAGCAAAATAAATTTTGTGCAGAAATGACATATAGAAACTTACCTTCAATATTCCAAATGAAATTGAGAATATTTCTTTCTATTTATTATGTAAAACAACGTGCAAATAGACCATTACTGTAATAACGATTTAAGATGTATAAAGCGGAGTCAAAACGCTTATAGCATTTTGCAATATAGGTGAGGATGATACTAAAAACAGTGGGTAATGAAATTACTGGGGGTAAGTATAAACATACAAATGTCTGGAAGTTGACTCAAACACCGAAAAAATCCTGTATTCGTCACATTTGATTTGATTGCGATGATAAAGTTTTTCCAGTGATAAAAAATGTTTTAAAAACTAAATCATTTAAAAATCGTAGGATTACACCAGCAGTAACAAACCATATGAAAAAAACAACAATAATAAGATGTATTAAAGTTAAAAAATAAAAATTATTTATATTAGTAACATCTGAATAACTTTTTTATGACTTACATTGGTAAATAATTTTCATTTATAAGTAACTCTTTTATGTTAATTACTTTTATTTGTGCAAATAAATTACTTTTATTACGCACTTCTAAAATAAACTTTATATAATTAAATTTTAGATGCTATGTAATTTTTATTATTAATATTATTATTTTTTTTGTTAATTTAATTTTAATTATAAGTATATTTAATATTTTACATTTAAAAATGAGTTTTTTTACTTAAATCAATAATAATAAAAACATAAGTCACATCAATCACAGTCAAAATATGTTGGATGGTTTAAACAAACTGTGGTCACAAAAAGTCTAAAAAAACAGACAAACAGAAAAGACAGTTTGCTCAAGATCTAAGATATAAAAATCACTTTGCAGGAACATCATGTAGCTCTTAACATTAAATGTTTTGAAGTAACAACAGATGATAGAGTAAAACTAAAATCATATTTCAACAATTTGAAAAACAAAGGATATAACTTTTATATCTCTTGTATTTTTATTCATTAACTACCAACTTAGCAATAATGAAACAACATCTATTTTTATAGCTAATTATAAAAGTATCATCTGAACATTGTTTAGATGATGATGATGAACAGATACTCTACGTAAATTAGTGTGTATCAAATAATTCATATTTCATCTTTGGTTTGACAAAAAGAGTGTATAAAGAATCAAAAAAATTATTTCAGTGTTTTTTTTGTTTGCATGGTGTGTGTATATATATATATATATATATATATATATATATATATATATATATATATATATATATATATATATATATATATATATATATATATATATATATTGATGTTAATATATATTTTTACAATATTTCGCTGACATATAGCGGTCAGCATTGTCAGGTGGAATGAAAAACGTTACAAAAATTATTACAAAACTATAAAAATCTAACCGTCAAAAAAGAAGACATTACAGGTGTAAAATAAAAATTGTTTTTTAAAATAATATAATGGCATCAGTTAAAATTTTGACCAAAATGATCTCCAAGTTCTTTTGTTTTTGTTCATTATATTTTCATCTTTGAATTTTTTATTCTTTTTTGGAAAGGATTTTTTGTTTGTATTTCGTATTTTCAAGTTTTTTGCATTTTTCTTCGTTTTTTTTTTTTTTTTTTTTTTTTTTTGTGTATGAATCCTTTTGCTGTAAAGAGCAGTAATAAAATCTTTTAAAATTTTTGTAACATTTTTTATTCCACCTGACAATGCTGACTGCTCTAGGTCAGCGAAATATTGTAAATATATATTAATATCAAAATATATTTAAAACAAAAAGTTTATACGCAGCCTTATTAATCAAACTCATTAAACATAAATATCGCATAACAAGAAAATGATTTTAAAAGATATATATATATATATATATATATATATATATATATATATATATATATATATATATATATATATATATATATATATATATATATATATATATATATATACAGTACCGTCTGAAAAATTGTGGAATAGGTAAAAATATTTGAATTTTACCAATATTTCATAATAAACTTTACTGGAGCCAACATATTATATACCATTTAAAAAGCTTTTATGTTTACTATTATGTTTTAAACAAATATTGCTTAATTAGTCAGCATATTTTATTTATTAAAATAATAACGGTTTTTAATAAGTTAAAAAGATTGTGGGCAAAGCATTTATATTTGAAAAAAATATAAATTTTTTAATGATATTTCATCAAAATTTAATAGATATGCAAAATCACATTAATATTTTGTAGGATATCTTATATATTAAATATCTTTCAATCAGGTATGGCTTTGCATCTACGAGGCATTAAGTCAACTAAATTAATGTAAACATCAATAGGAATGGAGTGCAATATTTCTTTGATTTCTCTGAATAAGTTAGCATAATTTGTAAGCCTAATGCCTAATATTTGGTGTTCAACATGTTGCCATAAATAATCAACTGCATCTTATTTCATCTAAGCCAGTTGATATGGATATCAACTTCAAAACACAATTTTTACTATTTTTTAAGATTTCCGATTTGCTTGTGTGTTTGGGATTGTTTTTCTAATGTTAAATCCATCCACAAGATATTTTATCCTTTGCATGAGGTAACATAATGCTCTTACATATGTCTTTGTATATTTCTTGATCAATAGTTTTTGAATATCAATGGAGCGGATCAACAATATCTTGACTAAAACATTCCAAACCATTACATTTCCTCCACGTTTTACAGTAAGCAGTTGGAATTTGTATACTGGATATCAAACAAACTCAATTCCATCTGATCTGTACTGTGTAAACTTATTTTCATCCCTAAATAGATTCTTTGATCAATTTTGACTATTCCAGTTTAGATGCTATTATGCTAATTTCAGTTTTTCAGGTAAATCAATGGCTTTTAGGCTAGGCATCTTCCAAACTCATATCAAGTGTCATTTATTGTTTAGACATAAAATTTTTTGTGTGCAAAAATCGTACCTGTTTATTAAAAAATTTAATTAATTTTTTTTTGACTTTGCATTTTTCATTATAGTTGTATTGATAATTATATTTTTGAGAGAAAAAAAAATACTTCTGCAAGAGCTGTAAATTGCTCCCATAAACCGTTTTAGGGAAACGTTTTTCGGGAACCTTTGACTTTAGGTTCAGATCATGCTATGATCTCAATAAAAACTTTTATCTTGTACTTCTGATTATTTCAGATCTTCATCATTCATCTATATATATATATATATATATATATATATATATATATATATATATATATATATATATATATATATATATATATATATATATATATATATATATATATATATATATACATATATATATATATATATATATATATATATATATATATATATATATATATATATATACATATATATATATATATATATATATATATATATATATATATATATATATATATATATATATAATATATATATATATATATATATATATATATATATATATATATATATATATATATATATATATATATATATAATACATCTTTTAATTAACAAACATCTTTTGATTAATGCTAATAATCTCAGAGTTCCTCAAACACAAATTTTATTTTTCTCAAAATGAGAAAAAGTTGACAATTTTGAAAAAATCAAAAACTACTTTAGTTAAATTAAAGAAAAGTATTTATGTAATATGTAAGTATTTATCTAATATAAGCTTTTATTTAAAGTAGTTGGAGATGAAGTTAGTTTTACAGCAAATTTTATTTTGAAGGTGCTGTATGGACAGGTGATAATGCTGCTCAATGGTCACATCTTAAAGCATCTATACCAATGCTATTATCAATGAATGTAGCAGGTTTACCTTTCGTCGGAGGTAATTTCTTAAACTATCAAGTTTGCAGTTCAGTTTTTGTTAACTTTTTTTAATAAGAAAATATAACAAATAAATATTAAATAAAGTTGTGAACAAATTGTCAAAAGGTTGAATTTTATATTTCGTGCAAAACTTTTTTACTTTGAACTGATATAGTTTTGCCAAAAAAATTAGGATTGTTTAACTCAAACAAAAAAGAATTACATTCTACATTCACTTACCTATAGATATGTGTTAATTATTTTTCAAAAAATTAAAAAGTATAAAACCCTAATATAGAATTTTGAAATTAAAAGTTTTAAAAAGTTTCATAAGTTATGAGAATAGTTTTGATACATGTTTAAAAGTTTTTAATTTTAGCTGACATTGGTGGGTTTTTTGGAAACCCTGATGGTGAACTCTGTGTAAGATGGTGGCAGGTAGTTTTTTTACACTTTAATTATTTTTTATTTGTCATAAACAATACTTAACTTATAATTAATTCATTTATTTGAGAATATTAACTTAGTCATGTTTATTTTTAATTCTAGTCTTGGTTATAATTAAAAACAGTTAAATTATATTTGCTAAGATTATTAATTTGGTAGTGTTATATAAGCTGGGATAATTACAGTATGTTATGTGAATTTCTTTAAACTGTTTTGAAAAACTTGCAAGTTTTTCAAAATAAAGGTTCTGTTCTAATATATATAAAATTGTATTTTTTAAAACAAAAACAATAGAGAAAAATACACTATTATACCATATATTCTTAATAAAGATTAGGTTTTTAAGTTATTAAGATTTAACCTTGTTTAACATTGTTAACAGCTCGAGTTGGGTTATATTAATTTGGCTTATTATTTTTTGTTTTAAGTTAATAGTTTAAACCAGAGACCTGCATGCATCTGCATCAATTATTCTTAGCTATTTTATAATTTTAATCATACAGAATCGTTTTTTTCCTCTGTTGCTAATCTTTTTTTTTTTAAAAAAAGCTTTATTTACAGTGGGAACCAAATTATTAGTTACAGTTTGTTTTTTCACAAAAACTGCAATTAAATATGAATTTTAAATAAATTTGCTTCTACTCTTACATTCTTTGGAATTTTAATATCAATAATAGTTTTCTATATATTTTTTTTATGTTTTAATGTTTATAAATAGTTGTAGCAATTTTTAAAATTGATAAGTTGGAGTATGCAAAAACAGGCGAAATGGGCCTTTTTACATATTTGTGGCGAAATTGTTGTTTGCAAAAGCTGTGTTTCTCAGATGAATCCCAATTTGAAATATTAATGCATAAGTAAATATTAATTCTTCTTTTGTTAGATGACAGAAAGAAGAAAATCCAGTCTGTGTTATGGAGACGCAGGCCTTGCGATAAAGCGTCGGGCGATGTGAATTTTACGTCGTCCAAGAGCGATTTTGCGTGTAGCTAGGGCTATTTGCGTCGAGCAAAAAAATTTTTGTTTGAGTATATTTAAAGATATTTTTGAGCGGAATTTTAATGAAGTAGTTTACGATTATTTTAACATTTAATAAAGTATTTTAAAAACCGCACGCAGTTGAAATAAAAGTTTGAATTTAAAAAAATTAAATATGCTCATTATTTACAAGTAGAAAAAATTCAAAAATTCAAAAAAAAGTTTAAATCTTTTAAGCTAACATTTAATTAAAATTATTCAGCAATAGCAAAGTTGTCGATAAAATTAAACAAAAATACTTTCTTTTAGTTTTAGATTTTAAACTTAAATAATTATTTTATGGGGGTTTGTTAGGTTTTAAAATTATTCCATAGATTTAAAAATATTTATTAACTGTTAGACGTATTTAAAGTATTTAAGAGTAATTTCGAGGAAACATTTTAAAAATTGGTGAGGGCAAATAAAAAAATAAAAAAGGATTAATATTAAAACGTATTCTACTTGATTCAATGAAAAAGTACAGTTATTAAAATTTTTGTAAAAAGTAACTCAAAAAAATTACTTAAATAATAACGATCACTTTTATGTTAAAAGTTACCGAAACTCAACGAAGCGTGCTCAAGAAGAGCTGCTGAAAAATAGAACATCAATAGTTTTTCGAATAATTTTTAAGAATAATTTTTTCGCTGAAATATTTTTTTTATACCTATAAGATTTTTATTCTAACATTTTATTTTATTTTACTAGAAATAAAATTCCTTGTTAACATTAAAAATTATTCAAAACGTTCGTTTAAGTTTTTTATTAATACGAGTGATTGTGCTTATCAACCGCTTTTTGAAAATAAATAAAAATAAATAAATAAATATTATATAAAATCGCTTGTAAAAATATTAGCTATTGCACAGTTTTTAATCGTACAATATTAAAATTTCCAGTTTATTACTATCTGACTTTTTAAAAAGTAAAAATAATTATTTGAAAAACTTTAAATTACATATTTAAGAAAAAAAAAATCAAATATTAGCATATTTTATAATCTTTTTTAAATTTAAGTTATAATGTTTTTTATTCGTTTAGTATGGACAAAACGTGACAAACGTCGAGAAAATAAACAAATGTTTTTACATTTAAAAAAACGAAACATTCCAAAACATTTTTAAATAATAACATTTCTACATAAACGATTTAAAGTAGTTTTGCGGTAATTAAGTAAATTGGTGCAGTTAATGTCGATAAATATGAAAAGCAAATTAAAAGAATTTAATGACGTCAAAAATCACGTCGTGCTTATGCGTCCCGCAGTTCTTATTCATCGCAAGGCCTGGAGATGGTAAAACACCCTTTGTGTTTTACTGTCTCCATAAAAGTGATGGTGTGGTCAGTTATAAGTGGTAAGGGCAGTGTCCTTCTTTATATAGTTGAAGGGATGATGAACCAGGATAAATATAAAAAAGTATTAACTACCAAATTAATTCCTCAGTTACATGATTGGTTTCCTGAATCATCCAAATGCATGGTTCTGCCCCATGCTAAAAAGCTAAATCAGTGACAAGATATTTAAGTCGAAAAATGTTACTGTTAACCATGGCCTGGCAATTCTCCAGACTTAAACCCAATAGGGAACAGCTGGGAATTTTAAAGCGGGTAATTGGGCACGAAACTGTAACCAACAAAAAATCATCATAGAAATACTAAATAATGCCTGGCATAATGATCAGGAATTAAAACAAATGTAAAGAATTGCATCCAATTATAATTAACAATTAAATAATTAACAATTTGACCACCCAATGTATTTAAAATATTAAAAATTATAAAAGATGAAGTTATGAATAAATATAAAATAGAAACAAAAATAATAAACCAAAAAACTTAATTTAGTTATATCGACATATTTTATATGCTTGTTTTTGTTTTACTTATATATAAATATTTTTATACCTTGTTGCTAGGCTGCTGCATTTACACCATTTTTTCGAGGTCATGCTCATATTGATACAAGAAGGCGTGAACCTTGGTTATTTGGTGAAGAAAATACTAAGTTGATCCGAGCTGCAATTAGAAAACGATACAGAATACTTCCTTATATTTACACAGTCATGCATGAAAGTTATGTTTCTGGAAAAGCTGTTATGAGGTACTTCCTTATTTAAAGATTTAGACTTTCATTATAAAAGTTTAGTCAAATCAACTAATAATGATTTTTTTATTCAAAAAAGCTATCAACATTGTATATTTAAATAATAAATACATGTTGTTTTTGAATATTTACTGTATTGCTAAAAAGCACATATTTTAAAATAAATGATCTTGTTTGTTATTTTTAAATATTTATTAATTTCATTTATCTTTAATTTTATAGACCTTTGTGGATGGAATTTCCAAAAGATCCAAAAACATTCAAGTTAGATGATCAATATTTATTTGGTATAATTTTTTTTCTCTTTATTGATTATTTGGTATACCTATTTATTAATTGAAATTTTTATGTTTGTGTTCAATTTTTAGTCAAGTATTTTTAACTTGTTATGATTCACTGCTGTATTGTTTTGTATTGTTGTTTTTAAAAAAAATTGTATTATTTAGATTAAATAAACTAAATACTTAGGTAAATTTTTGTTTTCTGTAGTAAACAAATGTTGCTGCTTAAAATAAACAAGATAACTAAGTTGCTGCTTAAATTAAACATAAACAAGATAACTAAGTTGCTGCTTAAATTAAACATAAACAAGATAACTAAGTTGCTGCTTAAATTAAACATAAACAAGATAACTAAGTTGCTGCTTAAATTAAACATAAACAAGATAACTAAGTTGCTGCTTAAATTAAACATAAACAAGATAACTAAGTTTTAATGATATATATTTAAACATATACCAAACAATTATAGTAATACTTTTAAAATTTTCAGAAAGATTTTATTTCAATATTTCATTGGCTTGAAGATTTAAACAAAACAACAACAAAAGATCATAATTTTGTCTATTACAATATCTTCAGTGTAACTCAAAATTTAACATAATTATGTATTACCTATTATTAAATTATGTAAAAGCTCGTGTGTAAAAAATAAGTTTTTTCGAAAGGAAATATAATAATAACTCATAAGAAAATAATCAACAGACAAAACCGACAAAAGTCTTGTTTTAAGCAACATAAATTTATTTTGTGTCAGGTGATATTTAACCAAAAGATACACCCATATTAGCACTTAAAAATAAATCTGTGTATTTGACACATGAAGCACCTGTTAGCAATGATGTTAAAAACCATAATTATTTTACTGACCAAAAATAAAAATTTTGAGTCAAAATTTGAACTTTTTAAATGTTGGCTTAGGATGTATTCCAATTAGTTTATAGTTTTGTAAAATATACAATTTGTTAAGTTTATAAATGTTATTTAAAATTTATAAACTTTATAAATGTTATTTGAAAATGTTAATATATTATTAGAAAAAATTTATTTTTCAATGTTTAGCAGCATTTTATGATCAAGGATGCAGAGTCCCAAACTGAAATATTAATAAGTATTCAAATAGCCAAATTTTGATTTTATTTTCTTATTGTTTGCTTTGAATAAAGGTTATAGAATAAAAAGTGTGAAAATGTTAAATAGTTATTATTATAAAAGCTTTATGCATCTTAACTTTCGGAATTTGGTATTTTAACCAAGTAATATAGCTTATAGTCTAATTAAAAATAAATTAAAAAATCAATTCCTTAAAGGAAATAATACAATTTTTACAATATATATATACATATATATATATATATATATATATATATATATATATATATATATATATATATATATATATATATATATATATATATATATATAAATTATGGCCTACTTAAATTACACGGCCTGATTTGTTGCATTTTCCGTAAAAAATAATAATCACTTGATGTTCCCTAACTGAATACTTTTTGCAAAATATTATAAAAAAAATTATTTATAAAACAAAATCTTTATTTGATTCTCCCCTTTTAGTGATTTTCACTAGTAAAGTCAACACTGCTATAACAGTTAAAATTTGTTCTGGATATTTTTAATTGAAAAAGAATGACTGCAATACTTGATTAAAATAGGGAAATAACATATAGAATTCTTAAAAGATGACAAATAAAATCAGACAGGGGTGCAATATACAATATTTTTTAAATATTATTAAATGTCTCATAAATATTTTCTCCCCAGAAAATATTATAGAGCAGACTTCTGCCATCTGTTCACTATTATATATCTCTAAAAGACTCACAAAAAGTCTACCACTGGTCATTTAACTATACTTATTAAATCCTGACTCTAAAAGATCACTTTGTAAACTGGAAGTAAGAAAAATGTATAGCCTTTTTCAAGCAAATCATTTCTAAGAGATACAATAGCTTTTAGTGTTATAATTAGAGCATCAAAGTTTGTTTGGTTAATGTAAAACATTTACATTTTGATGAAAATTTCTATATAGTTGGTAATATCTCAAGTATGGGTTTTTATCATGTTTCCCAGCAACATTTCTGAGTCGATTGAATGAATTGAGTTTCTGCTTTAAATTAAATGTGATAAATAACTTATTATAACAATGATAAAAATTGTGCTGCATTATTTCTTTCAGGAAAATAATTCAATACTGCATGTGCAGTTGTTTCGTCAATTTTGCCAATGTAATATTGACAAATTGTTTGTTGTTTCCAAGAGAAGTGACTTGATAACTAATTTTTCTTGCTTTTTTTTTTTTTTTTTGTTACTGTTAAGTAATTGATCTTTTAATAAACTTTATGAAATATATTCCTTTCTATGTAACCAGAAGTAAGTTCAACTAAATCTGTTTCTTACATTTTTTATAAAATGGAATATTATTTTATTTTACTAATTATCAAATATTAAGTATGATATAAACACTCACATGATATAAACTGGAGAATAAATAAATAGTTTTCAATCTCCAGTATATGCTTTATGAAACTATGAAAATGCATTAACATTGGTATAATGTTGGTAACAACAGCTCTTATTTTAAATTCAGATTGCATTGAGGTAATATACTCAACAATTTTTTTAAACAACCTGTTATGCAAGCTTCAGGTGAGGATTTCACGACATAAGAATAATTTTTGAAGCACTACAATCAAAAACAAAAACAATTTCTTTTTAAAGATTATTTTCTCAATCTTTAATGCAAATTATTTTCCACTTTGATCTTGCACTTGATCTTTCCACTTTAATCTTTCCACTTTGCATCTTGCCCACAAGAAGCATCAATCACTTTATACACAGTTTTTGTAAATGATTTTTCTAACATACTACAGATTTTAAATTTATAATTTTTACCACTGCAAAACTATTTAGGTAAAGAAGACTGATAGCTTTTATAAAACAAAGAAAAATTAGGAATTATATTAACAGCTATTGACTCAAAAACAGTGGGTATGCCTGATATAACTGGTAATTATACCTGATATTTCTTGGCCTTCTTTAAATAAATGGCCTGGTTTATTGTAATTTAATTGCTGCATGTTTGAAATATGTAGCTTAATGGAGTGTTTACATTGCAAAACATTGTTTTGTAGTGTAAATATTCCCAAGAAAAATTTGTGTTTTATTCCTAATAATTGCGATTATAATAAATACAAACTACAAACCTTTAAAATTATTTCCAATGGAGAGTTGTAGGAAGTTTTAGTAACATGTAAGGTTATTTTTAGTAGCATGTTGATATATGTTGATATAGCTATCTGAAAGCCTATTTCAATATTATGTGTTTTAGTTTAATAAACTGAAGCGGGCAATCAGTTTGCGCAAAATCCAGCACAAAATAATGTAAGTACTCAAAGAAATTCTAAATATTTAACCATTTTAATAAAATAAGAATAAAACATTTATAGTGCAAACACAACGATTAACCATAATAAGAACTCAAGCTTTTATACATAATCCATAAAACAAACTAGCTTTTTAATTTTTTACCAAAAATGCAACAAATCAGGGCATATATATATAATATATATATATAATATATATATACAATATATATAATATATATATATATATATATATTTCTTTTTAGAGATTAAAAAATTAATATATACCTTTTTATATATAGGTAAAGATCTCCTTGTAAAACCAGTCACTTCTTCAGGGGAAGATGAGATTATAGTTTACTTTCCAGGTGGAGAAAATCAGGTACAGTTGTTTTATGAATAGGTAAATTTAAATAATTTTAAGCAACAGGAAATATATATTATAAACATAATGTACCTCAGTTCAAAACATTTGTTTTTAGATTTACAGTTACGTTTTGTAAATTTACTATTCTAATTCTAAACCTTTTTTTTTATTACAATTTTTTTTTTTTTTTTTTTTACATATTTAACTTTTATCTATTTAATCTTGAACAGATAATTTATGTTATTTTGTAATGTAAAAATTATGGAAGCATGTGTCCATCTTTAAAGTGTTTTCAATCTTAAAAAATATCATCATCTTTTTAATATGGAAAACATTAAGACTAAGCATTTATCACATAATATTTCTTCTGTTATAAAAGTTGTGTCATATATAATGCCATAAAAGTTTAGAGGCTTGGCTATGAGACTGAATTTATCTTGCCCCAAGTGTGTAATTACATTTTTTATTTATAACTCTAGTTTTGTAAATTTTTCTTTATGCTGAAGTACATAATATAATTAATAATCATTTGTATCTTAAACATAAGCTTAAGATATTTAATAAGAGATATGAATTTTTTAAAATGTTTATCAGTTTCGACTTTTTTTATTTGAATTCCTTTTGTTTTGTTAACCTTGTTTGAGTGTAAAACTGTAAAGAATTGGATACTACTATTTGGGAATAACTTTTTTTTTTTTTTAAAAAAAACAATTTTGCATAAAATGTTTTGTTTGTATTATTTAATTTGAAAAAATTTGATAAAAAAATGTTTTTTTAGATTTGGTATGATTTTGATACATTTGAATCTTATAATGGTGGCAACAATGAGCACATTTTAACTCCCATGACTAAAGTTTGTTTAGTTTTTTTTTTTATACTTTTTTTTTTTGATTTTATATTTTTCTAATAATATTTATTGATTAAATAGTTAAACAATTTTTAATTGCTTTTAGGTGTTTATTCGTGGTGGGTCAATTAAACAATTTTTAATTGCTTTTAGGTACCAGTGTTTATTCGTGGTGGGTCAATTATACCCTTGAAAGAACGTGTACGAAGAGCATCATCTCTCATGGTTAATGATCCATTAACTCTAATTATTGCGCTCAACGAAAAGGTTTGAATAAAAAGTTTCGAATCTCTTATTAATTACATTATATATTTTAACATATTTTGCTAATAGTTTGTATTTCACTCAGGGCGATGCTGAAGGAGAAATATATTTAGATGATGGCCATTCTCTCGATTATAAAGATGGGAAATATTTATTATCAGAAATTAGTATGAGCAGCGGAGGCATTATGAAATGGTAAAAAAATAAATTACATATTTGAATTTTTAAAATAAAATTTATTAGATATTTTTATTTTTATTGAATTCGGTTCAATGAGTTTAAATGAAGAAGCTTATAAACCATTTTAAGTAGAGTGAGATAATACTATTACAAAAAAGTGATTGCTCTATATGTTTTTAGACATCTGTTTTCAAAATACTACTTCATTTAAATTTACCACGAATATTTGGCTGTTTGTACTTTGTTAGGATACGCAACAGAATATTTATTTTTATTAAAGTATTTTTTATTAAATGACAAGCTTGTGTATAACAATAAAAAGATTGCAATTTCAGTGGAAAATTAAGAAACTGAACATTTTATATTAAAGATGCGGTCTGAAATTAAGCTGAGTCAAGTTTCATATGATCATAGTTTGCAAATACTGAGAGAATATTAGATGCAAATTTAAAATCTATAGGTGAATATAAGTTTAGTGAAGGGTTTTTAAAAAAATTCGTCTTCACCATAACATGACGAACCGAGTCGTCATGTTATGGTGAAGACGAATTTTTTTAAAAACCCTTCACTAAACTTATATTCACCTATAGATTTTAAATTTGCATCTAATATTCTCTCAGTATTTGCAAACTATGATCATATGAAACTTGACTCAGCTTAATTTCAGACCGCATCTTTAATATAAAATGTTCAGTTTCTTAATTTTACAACTTTCTATAATTAAATTTATTTTAATTATTTAGTATTATAAAAACTAAAATCTCTCATAAGTTACAAGTTCTTTTATTTTCTTATTCGAATTATAAAAAGTTTATAAAAGTCTTCTTATAAAAGACTTTAAAATGTTGCAATAGGTATTTTATATTAGCATTTGCTTTTAGGGACAAGAAAAATAACTATTCAACTAAATCATGGGTAGAACGTATTATTGTGTTAGGAATGAAAAAGAAGCCAGCATATTGTACTTCTATGCTAGACAGTAAGTTTTGTTTGTTTTGCTTTTTTTTTTCTTTAAAATAAAATATTTACTCAACTTTAATTCACGTGTATTTTCTAATATTTAAATATTATAAACGTTTTATTTTGATTTTTTATTTGTTTTCTTTAGATGATATAAAAAGCTTAACATTTACATACGACGAGATTAAAAATGTATTAGTTATAAAGAAGCCATCACCTTACTTGGATAAGAACTTTTCTGTTATGATTGGATATTAAATATAGATATTAGAATTAGATTGCTTTAAGTACCTTTTTTTAACTTTAATCTTATACCTTTAAATAACTTTCGCATTTCTAGTTCGTGTAAACTTCATTTATTTTTTTGTTTTGTTTTTTTTTTTGTACAACAACAACAAAAAATTAGCAATACGCTTGAAATATCTTTTTTTATATACTTTTTGCATAATTATTTATGACGTAGAATTTGTGGCTTGATCTCTGGAGTATTTTATTATATGCAAGCAACATTTCATACTTAAAAACTGTTTTTTGTTTTTTATTTAATTTATTAAGGTTTTTTAACACGAAAAATAAAAAATTTTAAATATTAAAATAAAAATCTTAAATGACGTAAAATAGATTTAATTTAAATGTCGGCTCAGCTCCAGTTATGTCAACTAGCATTATTATTTTAGCGTCATAGTTATAGCGTCATTATTCATGTGTCAAATTTAATTTATTTCCTTTCAAAAAATTAAATTACGCAATAAAATAGCTTTTTTCTTTCAAACAAAGATGTTAAATTAAATCATATGCTAAAATTTCATTCTGTCGTGGATTTGTTTAAAAATTAAGTTTCTAATTATAAAATAGATATAATTAGTTATTTGTTTTAAAAAGTGACGTCTCTAGTATGGTGTTGTAGCATAGCGTGGCATTTAATTGCTATTTTATCAAGGGATTGTCAGGTATTTAAAATAATCGATTTTAAAACGTGATTATTTACAAAAGTATTTTAAGGGTTTTTTTTGTCGTCTAAATATTTAAATTATATTACTTTAGCATATTTTGAAAAATGGAGTTATTTTCAAAAGATTTACTCGATGGAGCCTCTATGAAAGATAGTATTACTTTTTCCAAATACAGTTCATTGAAAAATGATATTCTGTCCAATAAATCAGTGGTGCGCCCTCTTCGTTCTGACGATTATCTCAAAGGTTATTGAATTTTTTATATTGTTATGTTTTTACAAATATATTGTTGTGTTATTAATTACTATCAACTCTAAAGAGTTTTAAAATTTAAATTTTACGAGATATTTTTCGAGCAAATGCGTAAAAAATTTAGATTATCTAATATCTTTGTTAAAAAAAAAAAATATCTACAAGATATTTTTTTTTGAACGAATGCATACCCGCTTCAAAAAATAGTTATTCAACCAATGTTGCTTATTATTATGATTGTTTTATGAAATTTAAATAAACGCTTAGTTAATGTCAAAATAACATTATAAAGCCGTATCCATAAGCGAAATATACAACTATGATGTTATTGGTCAATTGTGGTAACGATTTATCGCGAATCAATATTATTATTATTTTTTGTTGTAAATATTGTTTTTCCTGTCATTGCTGAGTTAAAAACATAGTTAACAATATAAGTACTTTTTTATATGAAATTAATAAGGTTTTGTGGAATTGATATCTGAAAATGGAGAAAAGGAGAGCGCTAAAAGATTATACGATTCGAAATTCTTGTTTCAAGGTATACTTTAACATATGTTCTATGGTTTGCAATTATGTTATAACTAGGGTGTGACCATGGTATTGCATAAGTTCTTTCAATTCGATTCTTTTGTTTTTAGATTATTATTCTATTTTATCTGAATGTATGGGTATGTACTATGTCGTAGTATTGGAAGATTTACGCTTAAAAAAAATTTTGGGAGCAGCTACGTTGACAGTAGAACAAAAGTTTATTCACTCTGCATCGAAGGTGGTTCATTACAATTATTATCCAATTATATATATATATTCTTTGATTTTCTTTTAAAGTTTTTTAATTCTCTAAAAGTTTACACTTTTAGAGAGGTAGAATTATTGACGTAAAGGTAGACCAAGGACATCAGCGAATTGGAATTGGTTCATTGTTAGTTTTTAGATTTTTATATAAGTTTTTTAAAATATTTTTTATTTTATTATTTATTTTTTTGTTTGTTTCTCTTTCTTAATAGATTATTAGAAGTTTTAACGCGAGTTAGTTACTGCATTGGTTGCTACAAGACGACTATTGTTTGTCCTAATAGTTTGCAAGTGTTCTGCGAAAACGTGAAATATCATGCTGAACCAAACCAAAATCATCTGCGAAATTCAAAATTTCCTTGTATGGAAAATCTTGTTGCTTCCCTTCCTAGTTCAAAAATTTGAATCAAATCTTTATAATTGTCAGATTACAATGTAACTCAACTTTTTTCTGGTTTTCAAAGTTGAAACATTATATATATACATCATTTCCTATGACATACTATTTATTTAACTTATTAAAATTCTATTAACTTTAATAAATTAAATAAATAGTATGTCAAAGAATATGATGTATTTTTTACATCATTTCCTTTGATATAATATTTATTTAATTTATTTAAGTTAATAAAATTTTATTAAGTTAAATAAATAGTAAGTCACCGTAAATGATGTATTCTCAATTTTATTAATAAATCTTATCATACTATTAAATTCTCATTAATATATATATATATATATATATATATATATATATATATATATATATATATATATATATATATATATATATATATATATATATATATATCAGAGGTGGAAAAAGTAAAAAAAAATTGTACTCAAGTAAAGTAATGTTATTTGAGTAAAATTTTACTCAAGTACAAGTAAAAGTTACCGGTCGAAAAGTTTACTCAAGTAAAAGTAAAAAGTAGCTTATTAAAAATGTACTCAGAGTTAAAGTTATTACGTTACTTTTTCAGTAACAAAGCTGTCAAATAAAAAAACAAAAATTGCGTAGTCTATTATTTTCTGCGCAAAAAAATTTTTGCACAGAAATTTTTTTTTACGGTCGTAAAAAGTGAAAAGAAACCAAGCTAAAGCAGTTAAAACTCGTTTTGAACGTTGTCAACATTTTTTTCTAAACAATTTAAAAAAAAGTCATTTTTATTAAAGTAAGCAAAGCCCAAAAAAATTAAATCATAGTATTTGTAAAATTAAACAATACATAATAATTTTTTTTTACTCAGTAACGCTTATGATTTCAAATTTAGCGAAGTACAATACTTTGGAAAAAAATACTTAAGTAAAAGTAAGAGTACACATTTAAAAAATACTCAAAAGTAAACATGGAATTAATTTCATTACATACCAGTGTATCCTTTCTTGGAACTCCCTTCCGAATACCCTAAAATCTGGTCTCATCCATAGGTTCAAGACTCTGTTCTTAAAGTCACTCCATCATTTCTACCTAAAAGGTTACTCTTAACTTTACTTTTTACTTTTCTTTCTTTCTACCTTTTGACTTATTTTTTATTTTTATTATAGTTTATTATTTTATTATAATTTTATTTTTAATATTTTATTTTAAATTATAATTTTTATTATAATTTACTAATTTTATTATAATTCTTGTTAAAGTATATGTGCATATATAAATGTATATTATATTAATTATGTTATATATATTCAAAAAGTCTGATTTTTTTGGTATAACTAAATAAATTTTTATGCAATTTTACTTATATTAGTTAATATTATGTTATTTAACTTCCTTTTATAACCTATTTTTTATGTGGTTTTACTTATTACATATTATTATTATTGTTATTATTATTATTATTTTTTTTTATCTTATTTAGGTCATTGCGCTTTATTAGTGAATCACTATTTGCAATGACCTGTGGACCTGTGTTTTTGTAACATCTGTAACACGAAATATATTGTTATTGTATTGTTTATTGTTAAAAAGTAGAAATTCTTAAAATAACTACTTAATTATAGTAACGTGAGTAAATGTAATTCGTTACTTTCCACCTCTGATATATATATATATATATATATATATATATATATATATATATATATATATATATATATATATATATATATATATATATATATATATATATATATATATATATATATGTATATATATATATATATATATATGTATATATATATATATATATATATATATATATATATATATATATATATATATATATATATATATATATATATATATACACATATATACATACAGTGGCGTAGGAAGGTTTTTAAATGTTTGAAATAACCAACTTATAAACAACAAGAATATTCCAAATTTTTTTACGTTCATATGTATGACGAAAAGATTCTTTTAAAAAAAGAATTACTGTGATTAGAGAATGGGAACAAGAAACCCTAAAATCTTAGCCCCCCTGCCCCAAACGTGAGAGCAACAAGTTGATGAAATATTTTGTGTACTATTTTCTACTAGACTGATATTCATCGAGAAATTTTAAATTTCATAGTAAAATATTTTAGTTTTTTACACTTTTATTATTTTTTTATTTTTCATTTTTTTACGTTCATATTTATAACTTTTCGTCATACATATGAACGTAAAAAAGTTTGGAATATGTTTGTTGTTTCTAAGTTGGTTATTTTAAACATTTAAAAACCTTCCTACGCCACACACACACACACACACACACACACACACACACACACACACACACACACACACACACACATATATATATATATATATATATATATATATATATAAAATTAGTAGAAAATCATTTACATATATACAGGAACGAAAATTTTATCAATGAAAATAATTTTTTAAATACAAGTTTAATCAAAATTCGATCACAAGTATTATCAAAAAAATTATTTCCATCGATAAAAGCTAATCGTTTTCTCCCTATACTTTTGCATTTTAAAAATAATTGAATTTTTTAGGAGCAGTTTCTTCTACATTTTTGACAATTGAGGTAATAATGGCGATAAAACGAAAACAAAGCTACAGCTGTATTGTTGTAGTATTTAGATCATTTAAAAAATTAATTTTATCTTTCGGGCCGCTAATTCATTTTTACTAAATTAAGAGTTTTAAAAATAGTGTCACTCATAAATAAGTGCGCTCGTTAGACAAGTCAGTTAGGTTTTGGATATCTTCAATTTTGGTGCAAATATGTCTAATCGCAGAAATACAACCTAAAAATTAATATTTTTTTTGTTTGAAAATAGTGTTTTTGTTCGAAATTTATTTATTCGTTTTGGATTTAAATACTGTTCGAAATTTATTTATTTTGGGTAAAACTGTATGCAGGACACCCTATTAATAACACGCCAACTTTTAACGAAGTTAATATTTTGCCTAGTAGTTTAACTGGCAGTCCTGTTTTATAAATATTGTAATTTAGCTTTGAAAGAATTTATTATCAGTTTGTAAAATTATTTGTATACTTGTTTGCAACTGTATTTAAAGTTATTCGCATTTTTGAGGATAACTTTTCGGTTTGACATTTGGCTATATATTTGATAATAATTTTGTAAAATAATTCTACAATAAATTTGAAATGATTTTAAATATTTTGTATGTACGATTCTAAATAATTTTGTTAGGAGATTTTTTAATACTTATTATTTTTAAAATTGTGTTCAATAAACAAACAAAAAATTAAACTTTGAATAACTTATTAAAAAGTTCGAACCATCAAAAACTATTTTTAAAAAGTGTAGATTTTAGTAAAAGTTATTCAATTCAGATTGTTTTTATATTTTGAATTTTTAGAATCTGTATCCGAGTTCAAAATGATATAAATACACACCAAGTTGGTTGACTAAAAATTACGATGCTTATAATATTTACTTAAATAGGCCTCGCACGCTACAGCAATACATTACATTACGAGGCATTTTAAGAACTCCTGAGTGTATAACGTGATAATTTCTTTAATCAAAGTAAAAAAAAATTTCGTAAGACTATAAAGTAAAATAGGGTATAATGAAATAGCGGGTTAAATGAAATAGTTATGCCAATGTTTATTCTTTCGCTCTTAATTATTGAATAATCTTTTTTCAAATATTTTTCGATAATGTTGTAGAGAAAACTTTTTTAAGTAAGATGATGTCAAATTTTATTTTAAAAAAAAAGTATTGTTACTAATTGTTAAGTTTTAGAATGCGTAATAAGATTTTTTATTGTTTTGAAAAATGAACTTAAAACTCTCGGAAATTAAATTTAATATTATTGAACCTAAAAGGTTTTATGGTACAACTTTTTACGCTGAAATCATTTTTCAAAATTAAATTTGCTATTTAGAAAAAAAAGTTTTGAGTAAAAAATAAAAAGAGTTGTGGGGTTAAATGAAATACACTAATAATAAGACAAGCAATTCTTAAATGCGGCTTTTTTTTAAAATTAATTCTGTAATTCTCTAAAGTGACCAATAAATTTCCAGCTATTAATTTTTTGTATAAATTTCAATGAATGAATTTTTCTATCTGAATTTAAATGAATGATTTTTACTGACTGCTTTTATTAAATGATTCTAATAAATGAATGAAAACCCTAGTTGCTCTCTTGTTAAATTGCAAGGTTCGGCTATGTCAAACATGCATACCAAACCAATACGTAAAAGACTCAACTTCACAAGAATAAAAAAGTTTTTTTTATTTGATTGATTTTTTAATTGTTATTATTGATTGTTTTTTTAATTGTTATTGTTGATTGCTTTTCGTTTTTTTAAAAAAGTCTTGTTTTAATTACACATACATTAGCGTATTTCATTCTCCCCGTATGTAGGTGTAGAATGGAATAAATTTTTTTTTAATCAAGTAAAGTTTTATAAAAAACTTTAATTTTTTTATTTTTATTTATTCAAATACAGCAAATTCAATATTCTTTACAACTTTAAAAAAGATATTTTCCCTAAAAAATAAATAATTAAAATCCTTAACTATACTATTTGATCCCATTTTACTATATTTCAATTGAAGTAAAATCATATTATTTGTGAAATTAAACAACACATAATAATTTTTTTTACTTACACTACAATACTTTAGAAAGAAAATACTTATGTAAAAAAAGTCTTTTAACTCGAGGCCGTTTATAACAAAGAGTTATAATTAAGCTGGAGTAAGAACGAAAATGCGTCAATTTTCACAATTAAACATAATTTTTCTATTAAATTTCGCGTAATTATCATAATTTAAAGTTAACCGATCACATACCACTTTGTAAAAGAACTATCCCATATTATTGTTTCAAAACATTGCAAACAAAAGATAAAAGTTTAGAATTTGTGAACAATATTTAGAATTTTTTTTGTGTCTATTTTTTAAAAATGAGTTTCTAAATTAACATTAAATTAAGAAATGTCTAGATAAAAACTGGTAGTATTTCGCTAGATTTACAAAAAGGTATTTTTTTTATATCTCTTTACAGTGCTCGAATACCTAATAGGCCAGACTAGGCCATGGCCTAGGGCCTCCGATAATTAGGGGACCCCAAAAATTTTCAATTTTTAAAATCTTATTTTTTAAGGTGATAGAAAACATATATATATCTATTATTACTCTATTTCATTATTGTATTAAAAAATACTTGAAATATTTCTGTACAGTATAATCCAGTCTATTATTGTATTAAAAAATACTTGAAATATTTCTGTACAGTATAATCCAGTCTATTATTGTATTAAAAAATACTTGAAATATTTCTGTACAGTATAATCCAGTCTAAAAAATACTTGAAATATTTCTGTACAGTATAATCCAGTCTATTATTGTATTAAAAAATACTTGAAATATTTCTGTACAGTATAATCCAGTCTATTATTGTATTAAAAAATACTTGAAATATTTCTGTACAGTATAATCCAGTCTATTATTGTATTAAAAAATACTTGAAATATTTCTGTACAGTATAATCCAGTCTATTATTGTATTAAAAAATACTTGAAATATTTCTGTACAGTATAATCCAGTCTAAAAAATACTTGAAATATTTCTGTACAGTATAATCCAGTCTAAAAAATACTTGAAATATTTCTGTACAGTATAATCCAGTCTAAAAAATACTTGAAATATTTCTGTACAGTATAATCCAGTCTAAAAAATACTTGAAATATTTCTGTACAGTATAATCCAGTCTAAAAAATACTTGAAATATTTCTGTACAGTATAATCCAGTCTATTATTGTATTAAAAAATACTTGAAATATTTCTGTACAGTATAATCCAGTCTATTATTGTATTAAAAAATACTTGAAATATTTCTGTACAGTATAATCCAGTCTATTATTGTATTAAAAAATACTTGAAATATTTCTGTACAGTATAATCCAGTCTATTATTGTATTAAAAAATACTTGAAATATTTCTGTACAGTATAATCCAGTCTATTAGCGCCAGAGTAAAATATGTCTATTATCGTCAAAGTAAATGAATTTCAAAGTAATTATTTTGGTACTTTTTTGCATATTTGGAATACCAATTGTTAATTGTTCAATAAATAAAAAAAACACTAAATTATGGAAAAGTTGTATCATTTTAACGATATTAAAAATCAATTAAAACAAAAATTAGAAACCTTATCAAAGTTTCTTTAGAAATAAAAATCTTCAAAAGAATTTTTTAAAAAGTATTGTTGAAGATTTTTTTTATACTAAAAGTAGATTTTACTTGAGGTGCAAGTAATTTGGAATTTAGTGTTCCAAATTATATTCACCTTTTTTTCATTGACATTCATAAGTAAAATAAAATCAAAATGCAATCATAGATCAATAAGATTTCTCGATAATTTAATTGATTAAAAGAAGGATTTTGAATACATTAATAAATATTTATAAAGGATTACATTCTTAACGAAAAGCTTTTCAAAATTGACGTTTTGTTAACGTATGGCTGTCAGCAAAAATATCCAAATGGTACTGTTTTTATCAATCATTTACTTCATGTTCTATTTGGCCTAGTACTTCCGAAAAAACAACATGTTTTTTCGGAAGTACAATGCATTTATATTAATTGAGATATTCGAGTATTGGTACAAACTAACTGCGGTATTCCGAATATGCTGCACTTAAGAAGCCCATTTAACAACATAACATATAAAACATATATATTTTGACAATAAAATAAATTATTTTAATATACTCTTATAAAATACAATATTTACAGGCATATACTTGAACAGATTTAGAAGGTCATTGATTTTATCATTTGAAATTTGAGCACCTGATTCAAGGCAGAAAACATTAGTACCTCTGCCATGACTAAGATCGTAGATTGTTAACTAATGCTTTTGAAGAAACATTATAACATGAATTTCTGTAGTATACATGATCTAAATGATAGATACTTTATCTAGATATAGGGAACAAGGTTAAAATTAAAAAGCTTGCAATAGCTGAAAAAATGTTTGAAATCCAATTTCTTCATTTGGTAGACGAAAAAAGTTTTTTTTTGAAGAGCAGGAATTGCTCTGATTAAACTAAGGGGACTAAATATTTAAACAGGAGCGAGTGCTCTATTTGACTGTGGATAATATCAATCTCTTGTATACTAGAATTCCCTGCTCTTAAACTTGTGTTATATATATATATATATATTTGTATATATATATATATATGTAAATATATATATATATATATATATATATATATATATATATATATATATATATATATATATATATATATATATATATATATATATATAATATATATATATATATACATTGACTAATCAATCGGCAAATGCCGAATAGTGAGTCGGCAAAGTTTAGATAACATTTTAACCATTTTTTTTTTATTTTTATTCGGCAAAATTTGTAATGGTACGCCCCCCCCCCCCTCCTCACGTGACACCTACTCCACCTACTCGCGTCGGCCCTGACTTTCTATGTTTTTGTTATTAATATTTTTATGTTTTTGTTATTAATATTTTTTCTTAATTTTTATTTGTTTTATCGTTAGTATTGTTACAACTTTTTTTTATGAAACGCTTTGACAAATTGGTCTTAAAATCAAATGCTACAATGGCTAAATTGTAAAACAGATGAAATAAATACACAAACAAAATGAACGAAAAAATTTACATGATTATTCGAGAACCAAAGAAGCAACGATAAAATATGGGATGTAAGCAATAATTTAGAATCTCAAGAAACATGCAATTTATATACTATGTTTGACGTATTCGTTGAACTTAGCTAAGCAACTAACCTGCTTGTTTTGCAATTAGTTTTTTTTTCTATCGTACAAGTATGGCATACATTTTTTCCGACGCATAGCTGGGATGTCTTAAAACAACTGATAGGAAACAAAAAAGTACTCAAATCAGTATTACAAACGCGTTCGGAGGGTCAACTTCAATTTTGTATAGTAGTTTGACTGACTTTTTACATATTTCATTTAAAACAAACTGTTTTTCAAAAATTGTTAGCT